AACCTAAACCTACCCTCTGCCAGCTTGTGACCATTATTCCTGGTCACTCCTGGCGGTGCTCGGGGGAACAGTGACTCCCCCAGTGCCTGCTGATCCCCCCTGACTAGTTTATAACAGGCCACAAGATCCCCCCTCAGCCTTCTCTTTTGGAGGCTGAACAGGTTCAGGTCCCGTAGCCTCTCCTCATAGGGCCTGCCCTGCTGTCCCCTGATCATGCGAGTAAAAACAGACCTCTTTCAACTGCCATGGATGTGATATAGTCATTCCAAAGAGTGGATAGCATTATATCCAAGTTTCGTAAAGGACCTTGGAGGAAATCAGGCCCAATACTTTGTTCTGCAGCACATTCTGTAAGGATTTCAGTCACCTTACAGAGTAACAATTTAGCCTTACTAGCCATGTCAGTTGCACATTATTTTATTTGCAGAGGAAAATGAGAAGCTGGCTTGGGAGTTAAAAAACAAAAAACCAAGAGATGACAAATATGCTCCTCAAGTCTCAGTTGCGTGCTTTAACCACAAGATAGTATATCTTTTCTACCGTGTTTAAATTATAAACTGAGCCTCTCTATATTTGCAACTTCAGAGCTTACCGACATATTCATCCATGTTGAAAGTCTTTACGTATTTGAAGGAGAGATCTCCGTTCTTGTGATATTCTATCAGCTTTTTGTAGCATCCCAGTGGCGTACTCCCTATATTAAATAATTGTGTTATTCTTTTGCTTCATATGCCAGTAAGGCACATTTTTAGATGCATATGCAAAAGTATGAAGTCTTCTAAAGTTGGCTTCTGTTACTATAACAGGTTTAAGAACCTATTACATTTCGAGAGGATTCTGAAAAACTCCTACTGACTAGCAAGTTGTCAAGCTCCAACAACACTTCCCTATGAAGTATTTAAAAGAATACAGTAGAACCACCAAAATTTTGGTATCCAGGTGATTTTCAACAGGTTGCCAATTAAGAACAAGATGTTCAGCTGTTTGCTACAGCGTTCACTTCAAAAGGCACATTTCTTTCACAGAGAAGTAAGGTAAGAAGGGACCTCAAGAGATCATCTAATCCAACCAGGATCAAATCTGCAACCTTGGTGCTATTAGCATCATGCTCTAGCCAACTGAGCTAAGCCACCCCTGCATCACCTGGAGCATATGATCAACCCTGGGAAGATGACTGAAGATATGGCATCTTTTAAAAATAAAAGGTGCCGACCACCAGAGCACCTCAGAGGCTCTGCACAGTCATTACTGCAGCTATATGCACATAAATCTGAGGAATCTAATTTTGGGGAATATCTGTGTTTTGTACTGCATAACATTTGATTATACAATCAAGCAAAGGATTGCTACTGACTAAGCACAAAACAAATACATCTGTTTGCCCTCAATTATGAGCATTTTACCTGTTGGTAGACCAAGTGTAAAATATTTTCCTTCACTTGGCTTGAACTGGATAATACGGTTACAAATGTATTTTGCAGCCCATTCACTAGCCTGGTCATAATCTTCAAGAATTACAAGTCTCATTCTGGTGGCAAGCAGCTAACAGGGGAAGTTAGGATTAAATCTGTGGAACGTGTGAGAAGCAGTTAGCATCGCATGATACATATACAGACCGAAATTGAATTAGTTTAGTTTCTTCTTAGATGGTCCAAGACCTTAAAAAAAAACCCTTCCCCAAATTTACACTTACAATGGAACACTGAGAATACAAAGAGCATATTATTGTCTCAATGCAAGAATAAAGTGGAAAGTAAGCAGTCTTGACTAGGCCAATTCAACCAATTTCAACATTCTGGACCACTTCAAAGAGTAAGACACCCTAGAAAAGAAATTCTTAAAGTGTTAGCTATTTTTTATATTTGTTAATTAAAATGCCTTCTTCAGACCAAAACTGGAAAGATCACAACAAGATATCACATTTGAAACGCAGAGCTCTAGAGCCTATACAGTTTGGGAATTTTAAATGTCTGCTCCATTTAATACCAAGTAGTTTTATGAGTGCTTCTACTAAACTTGGTGGGACCCAATGAGCGTTTGCAGGACTGAAGCTTTAATATACATCCCTCCAGAAAAACGGGGGCAGTCTTGGTATTTTGTCTAGCAGTTATCTAGTGAACAAACAGCAGTTACCCTCCTCTAAGGAAACAGCTTCCTTTGATAAGCTTTTTGTTTAAAAAAAAATGTCAACTTCATCCTTTTCCATAACAGGTTGAACGTTGGGTGAATTTCATTTACAAAGAGATGGCAAAACACACCTCTGTATTACTGTTTTCTCTGTCAATTGTTAAGCAAAAACAAGCAGTTAAATCCCCTCCTCATTACAGGGACAGACCAGTACTTCAGCCAAGTTTTTACTTGTCAAAGCCTTTGTACACTTACACTGGAGTATTCAATTTTTTAGCAGATCACAACATAGCAGTTTTCCAGTTATAGCTAGATCTTAACATCTCAGCTTTTTTAACACCACTGCAGTTCAGGCTTGAACATCAACCATTATTTGTGGGGGCAGTTAAAGATTCATTCTTCATACGACATGAAAAACCCACAAATTAATTTACATGCAAAAGCCATGTCCATGGGTTAAAAATCAAAATCTAGAGAAAAGGAAAGAGTAATTATACTTGTGTACTTAAAGTCCAAAAGTATAAAGTCTGAAGATATAAACTGTTTTATTCTGTGAAAAAGATGCAAATTCCAGGCTACGCCACATTTTCTTCTGCTTTAGAGTTTTTTTTGGTTGACAACTGAATTAAGCATGTCCTGGCTTCAGACAAGCCAGTTTTAACCTGTGACTGGCAGACACTGATACTCTTGGCTAATTTAAGTGGTCAGTTTTAAAGGAGCCAACATGATGCGACTGAACCTCACACTTTTGTAGGCAAACACCTGTTCCTTTTAACAGGTAATGAAGAGCTTGTTACCAAAGCAGTTTATATCCCTTATTACCCACTTCTTTCATTCACTTCTCAGGCAAGTTGTGAGTGATGGAGCTGCAGACAGGCATCATATAAAATGGGTCCAAATTCAAATGCATGATACTAATTTCCCTTTAAAAAAACTTCCTATAGCCCCAGCAATCCCACAGTGCCTTAGCAAACCATGTGCTGCCTCTTCAGCTAGCCTTACTATGCCCCAAGAAGCAGCAGCAGGCAGATGTGCTGCAGCCACATTCCAGTTCTACGCAATTCTCTCCTATTGCATCATGCCACTGACAGAAATAAAATACAATGCTCCCCCCGCCCCATGCTTTACCTGCCTTCCTGGCAGTCTCCAGTCTCAGCAAGCACTGCATGTGCTTTCACAGCAGTGGGATCCCACCTTTATGGCACGTGCCACAAGTGAAGAGGGGTGCCTTACCAGGGGTTGCTGCAGTCTCCCACCCTATCTGCTGCTGCTCCCAGTCCCCCCTCCCCCCCATATGCCACAGGCAGGGCTAGTTGGAGCTACATGCCACACTGCGCTTGTACTTCAGGCTAGGCACACCCCCAGGGACAGCAGCACATCTACCAATCATGAGAGTCGGCTAAGCGACAGGGGCCTCTCAAAGCCCTTTCCCAGCTACTAAGGGCAGCACAGACCCAGGCTCCGCTGTCTGCAGCCCTAGGGCTCGACTGCCTCCCACACCGGGCTGGAAGCTCCCGGCCCACAGGGGCCCGGGGAAAGCAGAGCAGGCGGGTCAAGGGTTCCAGACGCGGCACCGGCAGCAACACACTTAGCGCGGCCGAGGGACGCCCTGAGGAAGCCCAGCCCCACCTCCTGCAGATCCAGCAACGCCCCCAGGGCGGACGAGAAGCCGGAGCCGGAGCCGGAGCCGGAGCCAATCCGTGCCACCACCACTCCAGCAGCCAGGACAGAATCGGCAACTACCCCACTAGCTTCGTTATTCAGCGGGCGCGTGACCCGGAAACAGTAGGGAGAGACCGGAAGTGGGACGCGACAGCGGCGCTGCGCATGTGCCAGAGAAGCCGGACTTGGCTGCGTGCGCAAGCGTGTGTAGAGCGTAGTTGATAGAGTACGCATGCGCAGGGTCCTCGTAGTAGGAATAGAGACATACGGGACTTGGCGATTAGGCTGTTTGTAGGGAGGCTGTTACCTGGGTGTGAGCCTCAGCTCAGGTCATCTGCTGCTCCCCTAGTTCTCTTGTTGTTTTTATAAGCAGCTTTCAGGCAAATTGGGGAAAGTTTAATTCATTGCAGACTAGAGCTTGCTTAGTGACAAACTTTTACCCTGTTGTTTCAGGCCTAGCTTTTCCCTGCAGAGGGTCAGTAGAAGTTGGCCGAACCCTTTTCAAATAGGGAAAGCTAATTCCTGGTCCTCAGAACTGTTGCAGAGGTGATGCCTTTTATTAGACCAGCTAGATAGTTGCAAAACAAATTCTTTATTTGCAAGCTTTTGGGCATGCACACACTTCTTCATGCATAGGGGAGTGCAAAGATGGTAAAATTGCTCCTATATGGAAAGGCAAATACATTCACGATCCTCAGAAATACAAAACTATACCCCTTGGTTCAGAGATGACACCTTTTATTAGACCAACTAAGAAATCGCAAAAAGTTATGATCTTCAGACACTTGTATCTGAAGTCTCAAAGGATAGTAAATCAGCATGTGTGCATTAGGTCAGATCAGCGTACCTTGGACCATCGTTTTCCTCAACATTAGAATTTCTTCACAAAAAAAAAAAAAAAAAAAAGCTTGTGGCATCTCAAATATGGTTTCCTGATTAGGTTACAAATGGGAAGTGGAGACTGTCTGTTACTTGCTGACACTTTAGTGTTACAGACAAAGCTACATAATTTTTAAATTATTTTATTTAGGTTGATTGCTTAGAGTTCTTTTGTTTGAACAGCAAAAGGTGTATGTTTGGAAATATGTGATCCAGGCTTTTCACAATAGCTGAAATCCAGTGAAAGGTAGCAGCAACCTAAAAATTTATTCCCTGGAGTACAACTGATAGTCAAGCCCAGTAACTATAAGGGATACATGTCTTTGTCATCCAGACTACTCCTACAGATTGGATTCCCTTTGATTAAATAGTTTTTGAGGTATGCTAAAGAGGTAGGTAGCATAGCTGAACTGTATGCCTGCTTGAGGAATGTATTCTGTGTCAAAAGTTAAGCGCTTTTCTCCTATACTAAATGTACTGGTTTGTTTTAATGTTAGAAATTACCCAGGTTAGGCCATCTCAGCTGTATTTTCTTCCTTTATTTCTTCACTTTAAATAGATTATTCAATTACTTATTTCTTTTTACCTAAGCTCTAAGCAAAATGTAGGTGAGCTTTTCAGAGAGAGTATAGAGCAGCATTTGGTGTTGCGTGATTGACTTTGCCCATTTGTTCTGAAAACCACATATGGCTGGTTGGGGGGGTTTACACTGTATACTTTCAAGAAGATTGTGCCTTGCCGATAATTTTAAAAAGGGAAAAATGGCAAATCTAATTTGTATGGATTTAATATTGTTCAATGTGCATGTATCAGAAATTATTAATAAAGCTGAAGATGAATAGGGGCTTACACAAGAATTGTGATGTGGGGAAAACAGCTGACTAAAAGTAGGGGGAACAATGTTTATGCAAAAAAGAGAAGCTATTAAGGTTGGAGGGAAGCTAGTACTGGAGTTCCTTGAGTACTGATCTTCGGTACAATCTTATTAAATGTTTTAATGACTTTAACACAAAAGAGAAGTGGACACTGATGGAATTGGTTGATTGCAGAGTTAGGTATCATTAATACAAGGATCAGAATATCATACAGGAAGAATAAAATGAGCTTTGCTGAAGAACTGGAGTGATTGGGAAAGGGAAATTGAATGGTACAAAAGTGCAAGGTAATGAAGTGTAAAGTCACCATTTTAAGCTTTTCTGCTATAAATTCACAATCCTCTGTCTCACATTGTTTCAAATGCTGTTGTAACTGCTCTTTCTCAAGCTCTAGTTCCTGCCTCCCCTTTAACATTTCAGCTGTTCCAAACATGCACAAAATAATGCCCATGCAGCAGCCACATCCTTTGCACTACCATGTGGCTTAATGGTTGTGCAGTATTGTTCAAAGTTCAGACCTGCCTCAGTCAGGGGATTCGCACCCTTGAAGCACCCCCTTTCCCAGGGGCATTTTCTTTTCTTCATTATCCATCTCTCTAACCTGCTGGTTTTCTCCTGTCTCAAGCGGGCAGGCTAAGGGGGTTTTTCCAGCCATCTCAATGTCCCTTATCACACTAATGATCACTAACAAAAGCCCCTTTCACAAAATCACTTAAACCTCTAACATGACACAGTATTGTTCTAAGGCACAACTCTTAATTCCTTATGACATGGTCCTAAAGTTATTCTAAGCACAATTCTTAACTTAAAAGTTACAGGAGGTTACCAAATATTCAGTGAGACAGGGACCTCTCTAAAGGAGCTTGGTCTGAAAAAAAAGAAAAGAAAGCTTGCTCAGGTCTGTGCCTCAGTTTCCCCACTTTGCAGCAACTACTTAATAATTACCATGTGGTTAGGGTCACACGCTGCCTGTATTCTCCACCAAATTTGTTACCAGATTCTCCTGTCACTGGGGTGTGCTCATTTATTAGAGGTACTTTTCTGGGGTTTCTGTAATTCTATCAATGTACTTGTGTCAATTGTGTTTCTATACAGAACTCCGTCTCTGTCTTCTGCAAGTCCCCACCCCCAATGTAGCTACCCTGCAAGGTTTAGTTCCAACAGGGCTGGGTTCCTCCAGCCACAGAATAAGCCGAACACACGCATACACACGTCAGTCAGCACTTCCAAGCTGACATGGTCATATACCACAGACTCAGCACAGGAGTCAGTTGAGCAGGGCACAATACAGTGCAGTCAGACACACACACGCAGGTTAAGAGAGCATGTCTGAGCAGACAGGGTGACTCAGCATTTCCAAGCTGATACCTTCATATGCCACAGACTCAGCACCCCCCTTAATGAGCAGATCCTGAAGGATTTTTGGGCATTACAGGGTTCTCTGGCCCAGGTAAGAGGAGCATTGCTGCACAGCAAATTGAGAAGTTGAGGAAAAGAAAGAGTAAATGAGATTGGGAGAGAGAGTATAACAACCAGCTTGACCATAAAAGTTATTGTCAGGTATATGGAACTTATACTTTTACTAGTAGTAATAGCTGTACAAGGAGAGACAAACAAATGAAACAGCTATGGTTTCAATTGGATATTTGGGGAAATCTAGCTCAAGTTTGATCAAAAAAAGTCAGGTTAGAAGGATTTCATAGATTTCATAGACATTAGGGCTAGAAGGGACCTCGGAAGATCATTGAGTCCAGCCCCCTGCCCCAGGGGCAGGAAGTCAGCTGGGGTCATAGGATCCCAGCAATATAAACATCCAAATTTCTCTTGAAGGCATTCAAAGTAGGTGCTTGAACCACCTCCTATGGTAGGCTATTCCGGACCTTGGGGACTTGAACAGTAAAGAAATTCTTCCTTGTGTCTAGCCTGAAACGGTCTTGCAGGAGTTTATAACAGTTCAACCTTTTCATCCCTTGGGGCGCTCTGGTGAACAAACATTCCCCAGATACTGATGGTCACCCCTGATAAACTTATAGGTGGCCATCAGATCACCCCTGAACCTAAGCTTTTCCAGGCTAAAGAGTCCCATGGCTCTCAGCCTGTCGTTGTAAGGTCTGTTTTCCTGACCTCTGATCGTGTGCATGGCTCTCCCCTGGACTTTCTCAAGCTTCTCCACATCCTTTTTGAATTGTGGAGCCCAGAACTGAATGCAGTACTCCAGCTGCGGCCTCACCA